TTTATGCCAATGTACTAACTTTACAGTTATTTGGATTTTTAACATTCTGTCTCTAATCAAAGAAGGAAAGGCTTGGTTTCTTATAAAAGACTATTGCTTTCAAGTGTCTGCAGAGGAAGTAGGGTCAGGATAAAATGAACATTAAACAGCTTGTTTTTAAACTTAAAACTCATTTCATCCTTTTATTCAAAATGGAGAACACAAGGGAAAGGAGCTGACAGCAGAGCTGGCTACCAGCGGGCCCCCATGCCTTTCCCTCCACCCCAGAACTCCCAGGTTCAGAGGTTCCACAGCTCATTTTCATGGTGCCCTCCCTTCTCCCCAGCTGGCCTCCAGCATTCCAGGCTGCACAAGGATACAGCAATCTGTCTGAAGAGTGGAGTGGCAGTGTGGATGAATGAGAGATGACACAGATGGCACAGCAGGGCAGGTGAAACAGGCAGAGAGGAGGTAAGAGCAAAGAGCATTTACTCGCAACCTAGTGATGTCTAGAACCAAGGGTAAAGCAAGTGGGTGACCAATGGTGAGGAAACTCCAATTCTGGGAAAGTAACACTTGGGATCTCTCTCTTTAAAACTATGTGTGTTTATGTGATATTTATATGATCTGTTTGCTTTACCACACACACAATAATGATTATGTAGCTTTAATATGCTTAATATGTCAGATTAAATTACTGTGAATTTTATTTGATGAGCACTATAAATTCTAGAAATATATAGCTGTCTTTAGAGTTTCCTACTGAAATATCAATCATTGCCTGGAAGTTTTAAAAAATCTGAACTCCTTAAATTTGTTCATTAGTGAAAGGGAAGCAAATTATCATCGCCAAACCTGCATCACTATGGAATGGAAATAAACTGCCTGGTCTCTTTTGGTGTAGGTGAACATATTTTTAGTACTGACTTTGTCATTTCTTGCAAGATATCCTCTAATTTTTGTATAAGCCTATTGTCTAATTTATTTGCACCTCTGCAATCATATTTAATGGGATCATCATGAGGAATCTCTCATTACTTTTAAAGAACACAAAATACCTCATTTATCCCATGAGCTCTTTTATTCTGCAAGTGAGATAACTGACCTGAGTGTCTGATTTTGCCCCAAACTTCCCTTGGATTTCTAATAAGGTAGAAAGTAGGCTTTTGCAAGCTATTTGTTAAATTATTCTTTTAGATTATTCCCTGATATACCAATTTAAGAAAAATTACCTTAAAAATAAAAAGTCATCAAATAGATTTAAATTTTTTTCTTGTGGCGAGGCTGTGGACTGACCACCGAAAAGGCATTCATAACCCATTTCTCTTACCTTCTACTTCTACAAAGGCTGAAAAATGAAAATGAGTCCCCATACTTCCTTGCTGCTGGGGGAGGCCATGTGAATGTGACTCAGTTCTAACCAATGAGATATAAGTGAAAAATCCCTGGGTGGAGCTCCCAGGAAAGAATTTAAAAAGGACAAGACCTGGCTGGCACGTGCCTGTGGCATGCCTTACGCCTCACCCCTTTTCTTGAAAGGTGGATACCTAGGGGTGCATTAGAGGTTTCGCAACTATGAGAACAAAACCCCCATGGGATAATGAAGTAGAAGAGCCAGGCTCCTTGATTACATACTGAGAGCTTATCACACAAGACAAATAATTCTCTTTTTTGCTTAAGGCACATTCATTAGATTTTGCCAATAATGCATTACAATTGTTCCATTTCCATTCCCAACATTTGTGCAAGTACTACAAATCTAAAGCTTTCCATCTATTATTATTTTTTAAAATATATCTTTATTGATTTCAGAGAGAAGAAGGTAGAGGGAGAGAGAGAGAGAGAAACATCAATGATGAGTCATTGATTGGCTGCCTCCTGCACGCCCCCACCAGGGATCATGCTCACAACCTGGGCATGTGCCCTGACCAGGAATCGAACCCCGATCTCCTGGATCCTAGGTCAATACTCAACTGCTGAGCCACACCCGGCTGGGCTTCCATCTATTATTGATCTTCCCCTATTAATGGCATGATAAAGTACATTATAATGCTTTAAAAACTCAAAGGTATATTTAAAATATGGAAGGAATTAAGTTTCTTTCATTCTGCATATTGACTGAAATTAGTGACTAAATTTCAACATTTAAAAAACTAACTTAAACCTGAAGATCGTATTTATAAAAAGATAGCTTCCAAACTCATCAAATACTTTAGCATACTTATTTTTTAATGATACTCTTTTCTATTCAAGTTTACAATATATTCCACATTTTCAAATCCTATCCTGCAATGTTTTATGTAGTCTTGAAGAGCATTCTAATTCTCCTCCCTAGAGTTATTAAATTCAGACATATGTAATTTAATGCCTGAAGACACTTAACTGCTGCTGACATTTTCGACACCAGATGTAATTAGTAACCTAGAATTATTTCTCCAAAACTACCTATGATATATGCTAAGATCTAAAATGATGACTCAAGATTAAAGTCTTACTAATTTTTGTTATAAAATATTAAAGCTGTCTAATCTTATATAATACGGGGAACTGAAAAGGGCAATAGCAATGCCAAGTTATGACTATTTCATACCCGGACAAAACAATAATGCTTTTTCATGTATTTATATATTTCAGAACAAACTGTAAAGCTGGTTATTTTATTCCTCTGAGGAGTCACTTCAAATTGGCTGAAATGTAACTTAAGGCATGAACAACCACCAAAAAGAGGGAGAATTTTCTAAAAACCACCATTTTGACCATGTCATACACATATTCAAAATCTTCCATAGCTCCCAACTACTTTCATAAATTTGAGCTCTGTGGGCCAGCACATCCGCCCTTCTAGCTTTACTTCTCCCTATATTCCCACCTGATCAAAATTACTCTATTTGTTCCAAAAGAATTTCACACTGCTCACTTTTTATTTAAAGGTGTACACAACAGTTATTACATAAAGACACTGGAACAATGTTGAGAATTGTGACTATTTTTAAAAATGCTATGAAGAATAATAGACTATTCTAGAAATGCCAAAAACCACATTACTACTAGTATAAAACAGCTAGGTAAGTACAGTTCAAAAGTACCTATACACCGGTATATATACTAATGACATAAGAGAGAAATAATTTTCCTAAATATTGGCTATAAATAATAATCATATGATTGGCTATACTGTCACCAAGAGCTAAATGTGATACAAACAGATAAAGACCTAAGTTATGAAATAAATCTTTAAAGAATTCAACTATAATTTATTCCTGCAAAAAACTATTGATGTGCTAAATATATCTTATGTTTAAAAAGACTAGAAGTAACCCCAGAGAGATTTGGGAATTCCAAGAAGCACCCTTATTATAGTTTTATTATTACCAAACCGATAATATTTCAGTATATGCTTAGTATATGGACTATATTTTCTTCAAAATCAAAAAAGGCTGCAGGTTCCTTCATGGCATAAACTTTTTTTCGACTTCAGACATAAAATCCTGAGATTTTACTTCCAATACAAAACTTCATGGGCTCAATAAAGAAATTCAGTAGACAACATTTTGATAAATACTCTAAATCTTTAACAGATTACTAGATTTATGCAAATTCCAAGAAGTATATCATAAATCCTATTAAAACTTCTATGCCGGACATTCAGAAATACCAACTCAAATTTGGGGAAAAATTAACTAATAACTAGTGACAATTTTTGTTTATTTAAGAACTCAAAGAACCCAACAAGCCCAATTAAAACATGTTGAAAATAAAGCAATTTTTGTTTATTTTTAATTCTAGCACTTAAAATATTTTAAAAGCCTTCACATTTTCCCCGCAAAGTCTTACAATTTAGGTGGCAGTCTCTTTTGAGATATAAAAAAGAAACCAGAACGCTGTCTGTCTTTCACATGCCAAAAGTACATCCCAAGTCTATTCTATTCTCTCCATGGTCTTGCCTACCACCTAAAGTAGCCAACACCTCCCCTAAATGCCTCTTAACTGATCTCTCTTTAGGTTTACTCTAGTCCTCCTACAATCCTATCTTTATACAGGCAGAAATTTTTTTATAAAATGTACACAAGGTCTTGTCACTCCTTATCTTAAAACTGTCCCAGCACAAATAATAAAATTCTAACCCCTTGTCATGCTCTATATGATTAAGCATGACTCCACCTCACTTATCATGCTCTAGCTACACCAGCTTTCTTTCTGTTCCTCAAACACACCTGCCTTCACCTCTGCTATTCCCTTTGCTTGAAATGACTTCCACTACCCTCAGTCCTCCAAACTTGCCACATGGCTCACTCCTCCTGAGTCAGGCCTCATCTCCAGTGTAAGGTTTCAGATTTAGCGAATAAAAATAGGGGACATACTTACACTAAAAAAATTATGCAGTTTATCTTAAATTCAAATTTAAGCGGGCATTCTACTCCAGTATCATCTTTTTAGAGAATTTCCTGATTAATGCCAATCTAAAGTCTCCTTTGTCATAATCCTATTTTCTTCATTGTCCTTGTCAATTTCTGGAAATTTCTTTGCTTACTTCTTTGGTTTATTCATTTACTGCTATGTTCTACCTCCATCCTATGACGTGTAGTTCACCTCCCCACTCTTTGAACCCTCACACCAAACCTCTACCCTGTGTTAGCACCACAAAAACTGTTTGGACTGTTTCTTTAGCATCTAACACAGTGCCTAGTACAAAGTAAGCACTCATAAATATCTGTTGAATGAAAGAATGCTCTGAATTTGTATGCTAAGGGGTTTAGAATTATTTCTAATTCCAAACCTGTGAAACAATTTTAAAGTTCTGGAAGGAAAATTAGTCAGACTGGTTTCTTATGCAAGCAAGCAATCTGAATACTATAGTTTTATGTGATTAATTTCATTACCGATGTTGTACTATAACAAGACAAATAAATAAAAGCTGTGCATAATTATCTGCACATGACCAAAAATAACTAGGAATACAGAAATATTCATAAAAGCATGCCTACAGAATACAAATGTAAAACTATGCAAATCAATTTTACCGTCTTAATAGAACTCCTTTGTTTTTCTTCCCAAACACCACTGCTCAACTCAAGTGTGCAATGAATATTTGCCTCTCTGTCATAGGATCCAAAAATGAGTAATCTGCAGTATAAAAATAAAACAAGGAGATTATTATACCAGTTATGTACATTAAAATTTTTCTTTCAGATCATTATACCAAGAAGTAATAAATTACTCCATTACTACTACAATTTTGGTTACAGAAAAAAAATGAAATCAAATATTTGGTAGACCCTCTAGTGGAAAAGTGAAGTAAAGCTAAAATTAGGTGAAATTCCAGGATAAGCTGTTTTTCAGCAGCTAAATCAAAACAGAAAGTAGCATCTACTTATGAGAAAACAAATTGACCAGATGTCTATACATAGTAGCAAGAGTTATAGATCTTCGAATCAAACTGTTCAATTTAAAAAGTTGTAGAATAATGCCTACAGTATAATAGCATCTCTATACAAGTTAAACAGATATAAAATAGTACAATATAGTTGCCTATGAACACACACACACTTCTCAATCTACTAATGTGACATTGGCAAATTAATTTCTCTAAGCCCATTTCCTCCTCTGAAAAATTCAGGGGAAACATAGTATTTACTTCTCAGAGCTGTTGTAAGAGCAAAAGAAAATGCATGCAAGGCATTTAGCACAGTGCGTAGCAAACAGTAAGTGCTCAATAAATGTTTGTTATTCCTATTATCTTGAAAACAATTATCAAGGAATAATTGCATCACCTAATTTTACTGCTCAATATTCGGAGTCTAAAAAAAAAATCTCAGTTCTTATCTTGAGACGATAGAAAGCAGTTATTATCATTGAAGGGAAAAATGTTGCCCACATGTCCAACAACTTCTACATTATCTACTTCTAAATCAGAAGGTAAGTCTGTCAATATGTTTTAGTAGTAAGCTTGAGAACAGCTTTAGTACTAATAACATCTCAATTACTACTCCATTACTTTATCTCTACATGAATATCATGGGGGTAGGAGTGCGTAATGAAAGAAAAATGGATAAAACACATTAGAGTAGTATGAGAAAACTGTTTCCTAAGGTTGGAGACCTCAAGCAAATCATGTTTATGCCTCACAAACTGGCTTCATGAACTGAAAAGCCTGAATAAAGTCATGGCAAAAAAAACCCCCAAAACCCTGAATTTAAATAACTTTTAATCTTAAAAGGAAATTTACACAGTGCTTAACAGTCTATTGCCAAAAACATTAAGAAGAGTCATAATTATAAAATACTAAGTTTAGGAAAATGAGAATTTTCATTTACCAAAGCTTTGCTGCCACCATCTGTTCAAAAGAGCGAACTACCTAAGGGACTTTATTTCTATGCAGAGAAGGCTGTGCATCAGCTAGTAGCTCCCAAATCACCAATAGATATTAATCTTCAGAATTCAGGAACAAGAAAACACAATTCTTGGATTGTGCAATGGTTCTCTGGATTAGGCAATGTTTTTTTGTTTTGTTTTTTAAAAATATATCTTTATTGATTTCAGAGAGAGGAAGGGAGAGGAAGAGAGAGAGATAGAAACATCAATGATGAGAGAGTCATTGATTGGCTGCAGCCCACAACCTGGGCATGTGCCCTGACCGGGAATCGAAGCCCGATCTCCTGGATCCTAGGTCGATGCTCAACCACTGAGCCACGCCCGGCTGGGCAGCAATGTTTTTTAAGATAGGACACCAAAAGCACAAGTACAAATAAGTAAATGGGACTTCACTGGAATTAAAATTTTGTGCTTCAAAGGACACCACCAAGTAATCGAACAGATAATCCACAGAATGGGAGAAAATATTTGCAAATCATGTGGACCTGTGTCCTTGTTCAGGACCTTAAATCTCAACAAAGAATTTAGAGCAATGCACTCTGAAGACCATCAAGCTAGATCGGGGAAGGCTGTAGCCCTCTGAATATGTAGTGATGGGGGTAAGGCTCCTCTGTGCTAAAAGAGGTCAGGGGCTGACTGACTGGGATGTAATTTCTGCACACAAAATTGAGGTGCTCTAAATGAGAGAGAGTCTACTGCCAAGCCTCACAGATATTGCTCCCATCAGAGAAAAAAAATTTCTCCTGAGCCTCATATCCTTCCATTTTTTATAGGAAACTGAGTTCCATCATAATCTTATGAGACCACTGTCATATATGTGGTCCACCATTGACCAAAAAGTCATTATTCAGCATGTGGCTATACAGTAGTTGACCATTCACCCCCAATCTTGGGTAGTGTAGAGGAGACTGCAAATAAATCCTGAATTCCTTTTAGTAAGTATGTTTTCTGTACTTGTATAAATAAAGCAATTCTGAAACTATTTGAGATGTATTACAGAACTAAGCAAATGAATAGAAGTGCTGATGTTACTGGAGCCAGAGTTCAAGGGATAAAAATATGAAAGTGGAAGAAGAAAGAACCAAGGCAAGGAACAAGGAACAACCCTAAGATGAACTGGAATTGGAAGTACTGGGAGAGCTTATGGTTTCTAAATTGTGTATGTGTATATGTATGTGTATACGTATATGTGTAAGTGTCCATACCTATATGTATTTCACAACTCTGTCTGCTGAAGGGAACTATGAATACATGAAGTAGCAGTGAATGACCCAACACCCAGATCTTGATTTTTAATATCATACTCTATTAGAAGGAACCCAGGCTCCTTGGTAAAATAGCTGATTCTAGGACTGTTGCAGAAAAAATACAAAATAACAGCTTGTTATACCAGAGCCAAGTTTGAAGGGGTTCCTAGTGGCCAAATCAGGGACAATTCACACACAAAATAATTAGTACAGTAAAGAATTATAACCACTGAAAAATACAGGACTCTATGAGTCTGTGCTGGTAACAGATAATTGGGGAGTAAGGTAGGACTCTTGGTAACAGAGTAGAACATCAACTGCTATAATTTTCTGTATTTGTGTTAACATTAATTTTTTTTAAAGTGATGTATTTTTGGAACCCAGTAAAATAAAATGACATTCCAAAAGCTGCTGAGAAAACAGAGGCTTTAAGAACAGTGTAAGTCTGACTCAGTGAAGAAGTGACCTTAATTAGAATCTTCTATCTATAATTAGGACAGGCTATATCCTAAATATACACTTTAGAGTACAGAACTCTCAAACCACAAACTTTATAGGCTTTGCCTTCACTGAATATGATCTTAGTTTGTTTTTAAAAATATAACTGGTTGATAAAACCAGTGAAAGAAAAGCAAAGAAAATGTATTCATTACTTCATTCAATGTCTTTTACATAAAGATGTATGTGACAAATTCCTCCTAGAATGTGATGCCAAGTTTCTCTCCCCCTGAAGAACATGCACAGTTTATCAGAGAATGAGAGCTAAGTTATCCACTGTTTCCTTTGCTGCCAGAAAATTGATCTTCTCTTCTCTATATGGTTGTTTTGAATCTAATTTATCTTTTCTGCTTAACTGCACATGGGAATATGTTTTCTTTGCAAAATACTTCAAATCCTTTATGACTATAAATTAAAAAATAGTTTTAACAATATGATTGTAACACTAATGTGCATAATTAAGTCTTCTAATAGAAGCACTACAAATACATAATTGAGTTTACCAGTGACTTAAAAAATCAAGTTTAGTTCAATGCAAAAAAATAAAAATGGACTGTTAGAACCAATTTTTACAAACAAAATTGTGTTTCCACCCCCAAACTTTTAATTGGGAAATTCAAAACTCTATTTCAGATCATCGGAAAAGAACCCCCCTTTACAATGTGAGGCTCTTGTAAATTAATAAAACTCAAATTCCAGTTCTCACAACCAAATGTGCAAAAGAGATCAGGTTTGTTTAAAGATTTGCTTTCTTCTTGATGAACACTATGATTACAAATTAAAGCATAATAATAGAAGCTACATCTACTGAAGGCTTTCTATGCGGTCGGCACTGTGGTTTATTTACCTATCTCTTAGGTTAGTTACTGGCAAGGTAGCAGTCTTGCCCATTTTACAGATGTGTAACTTGCCTAAGTACATATATCAGTAAGGGTACACAGCTAGGACGTAGAGACAACACTTTCTGATTAAAAAGTCGGCAGTATTTCCACTTCATGTCGCCTCCTGAAGCATAAAGTTTCCAGTTGTATAGTAACTCCAATATTTTCAATAAACAGTTTGTTTTCTATGAATACTTCTAATTTTTTCCTCATTGGCAAAGTTCACTCTCAAAGCTTTACAATAGGTAAGTTTGATGAATGAATAAATAAATCACCTTCTAGGCTATCTTTGCAGGTTTGGGGATGGGTGGATGAGTAGGTAGATAGGAATTAACAACAGTAGAGTCAAGAAATTTTGTGCAAAGCTGCTCTTCAAATGTTTAGAAGTTGCTATGATTATTTTGGAAAAGGAAATCCAGTAAGTATGATTCTGATGCCTGTGGATCTACAATAAAGTTCACTGGACAAAAAAGAAAGCATCAGTTCAAAATTTCCTTTGACATAGGCCACTTGAAAAACGTCTTAAATGTTAACATAATTATATACTTATTTGTTTTCCTTCTTATTGAATTTATTGGGGTGACACAACATAATTGTATATTTAATACTTAGGCTTACCATAGCATATTAGCTTAGCTACTTCATATTCAGACTTGTGCAAGCCAAGTTTTACTGTATATGTTATTTTACTGTACAATGAAGTTCCTTTTTACAAAATTTATAGCATTTTTAGTCTTTCTTTGATAATTCCTTTTCAACCAGATTTCTGACATAATGGTGCACAAAAATGAGTCACTCTAAGAAACAAAAAATATTTATCATATTATTAAGGTATTCAAAATTAACCTAATTATTAGCAAGGACACAAATACACTAGATACAAAAAATATAACTTGTATACTCAAGTACTTGTTTTTATTATGAGTTGGAAATAAAAATAGAAATGAGAAGTACCAATTAAGTGGTATAAACAAGTGTCACAGAAATGTAGCACAAGGAAAGTATCCTTGTACTTGGAATGATTAGGAGACATATTAAGGATGTAGCTTCTGAGGTGAACCAAGAAAGGTTGGTTTCAAGGAGCAGAAAATGGGGTAGGGCTTTCAGTAGAGAAACGGTGGGGATCCACACATGGGGCTTGATACTTTAAAATATCTAAGGCAGGGGACAGTGAACTGTGGTTGTCTATGGGCCAAATCCAGCTCACTGTTTGTTTTTCTATGACCAGTGGGCTATCAGTGGTTTTTACATTATAAAAAAAAAAAAGTTTTTATTGATTTTTTTTGATTTTTTTATAGAGAGAGAAACATCAACATTGATTGGCTACCTCCTGCACGCCCCCCACTGGGGAAGTGCCCTGACCCAGAATCAAACTGGTGACCTCTTGAAAGGTCACCCATGCATTGGTGCATGGGTCAATGCTCAGCCACGGAGCTACATGGACCAGGCAAGTGTTTTTTACAGTTTTAAATGGTTGAGGGGAAAAAATTTCATGACACACAAAAACTATGAAATTCACATATATATAAGGTTTTACAAATACACAGCTATGCCACACCCATTGGTTTACCTATGCCTATCTCTGACTGCTCTCACATTACAAGGCAGAGTTGAGTAGTTACAACACAGCCCATGTAAATCGCAAAGCCTAAAATATCTACAGTCTGGCCCTTTAGAGAAAGAGTGTGCCAACAAGACCTATGTGGCTCAAGTGAACTACTGCAAGTGAGGGGTGGACAAAGCAGCTAGAAAGGTAGGAAGGATATGTAGGCCCTGGCGAGGACTTGAGTCTCTATTCTGAGAGATGAGGGCAGGCATTAAAGGGTTTTAAGTAAGAGTCGGCTAGGTGGCTCAGAGGGCTGGAGCAGCATCCCATAAAGCAAAACGGCTGAGGGTTAGATTCCAGGTCAGGGCACATACCTAGGTTTGGATTCAATCTCTGGTCAGGGCAGGTACAGAGGCAACTGACTGATGTTTCTCTCTCACATTGGTGTTTCTCTCTCTCTTCCTCTCTCTCTAAAAAGCAATAAAAACATATCCTCAGGTGAGGATTAAAAAAAAAAGAATATTAAGAGAGTGACAATTAGACTTGCATTCTGAAAAGCTCATTCTGGTTGTTATACTGATAACCAGTGCTAGGAAATAAGTGTGGATCAAGAACGGGCTCTGTAATAAATCTAACCGAAAGTAACCTCACAGAGTGATCTGATCATAGATTCCTAACTGGGCAGGTCATGGTGAGTAGTGAAGCCCTAGACCTATAGAAACATCTACCTTAGCCTAAGCAAGCCCTGTCCTTTGTTCTTGTGCATTTAGGTTAACACACCTTCAATATACCAGGGTGATTCTCTTTTTTAGACTCTTCAGAGGCATAACCACCCTCAAGGGAGCACATAATCTTGTTAACTATCCCGAACCTAGTTTTCTCCTGCCTTCATGTAATCTTCCTGACATTTCCTCCTTCATTCCAACTGTATGAAAGACACTGCAAAACTGTCACTCTCTGGAAGATCTGAGATCTTGCTTCTGGCATGTCATTAGTTTGGCTCAAATAAACACTTATAAAAAATTCTTTACAGGTTTGGATGTTCTTATGTCGATATAAATAAGAAGGTTAGTATGGTAAGCAATTCAAGAAAGATATAAGCACAGCTTAGACTATGGGGCTGGCAAAGTAAAATGAGGAGGCTGGACGAGATTATATTTGAGATCCATCCAGGAAGCTCTAAAATTTCAAGCATCACATGGGTTCCCAAGTCGGATTTTTCAACTTTCTAAGGTATTTTCAATGATCACAAATAATTCTCAAAACTGTTATGCTATGAACAGCTCTCCTATAGGTAGTAAGTCAGATATGCCAACAGAGCATCACGCATCTAAAAAGTTTGGGAATCACTGACAAATAAATGACACCCCCTCACCCCATTAGAATGCTTTCTAAAGTATGGTTTATATTATGTTTGCAAGCTAGAAAGGACTATTTTTATAAAATTTACAATTAAAGAATTTACAGATAATACAATATAAATTAACACAGAGGGGATAAACACAAATACTACTTAAGCATATTTCACTGCACTTTCTTTCCCATAATGTAGTAGCGACAAAACAAAGACCATACCTGCTACATTCTAACAATGTAACTTTAAGACGGCCTTCAGTCAGTGCCCACTGTTGTATATGAATATGCTCTTCTTCATCTTCTTCAAATCCTTGCAAGGTTTGGAATGGAAAAAACGGCTTAAACCTGAAAAAGTAAAGATAAGTCTAAATTTCTGAATAATAAACACCACAGTTTAAAGCACAACAAAGCCTACCTGTAGGAAAACAACACAACACAAAACAAACACCTAATACTGCCCAACAAAACCAATGCTTACTATATGCTCCCAAACTAGCAGCAAATGGTGCCTTCTCTGCGGCGCCAGACCTCCTGGTTTTTTGGTGTGCTCTCACCAACAAGGCAGGACACTTAGAGCAAAGAAAAAGAAAATCTAGAGGTCACCAGGTACCAGGACAATTGGTTCCAGTGAGGCCTCACCTTGGCTTGCAGACAGCCATCCTCCTGGCCTTTTTTCTCTACACACATACTCCCTATGTCTTTCTTCTTCTCATAAGGACACCAATCCTATTGAATTAGGATTCCATCCTTATGATCTCATTTGAACTTAATTACCTTCTTAAAGGCCCTTTCAAGTACAAGCTACATTAAGGGTTAGGGCTTCAAGATATGAATTTTGGAGGACACAATTCAGTCCACAATAGAACTCAAATGTAACCCCAGAGCCCGGTCTATATTCCCTGGGGCTGATTTGATTACCACCCTGCTTTCTGCCAAAACATATACTCTAAACCCAACCTGAAGGTACCTGACAAGTCAGGACACTCATGGTTTCACATAAATTATTGTGCTTGACCCTCATAGTAACATGGAGATGCATGGTTACAAATCAGCTCCTCATTTCACAAAGATAAGGAACAGGTTCAGAGAGAACAAAGAGCCTGCTGGAGACTGCATCCTTTATTAAAAAGTTACAAGACATGTAACATATATACCAGCAACATGAAGTCATAAAGCAAGAAAGAAGAAAGTGATCCAGAAAACAGTGGATCCAAGTCAAGAAAGCTATGATGTCCTAAACCCAAATGATAGGTGTGTGGCAAGCCAAGAGAGAAGCCCACTCTAGGGCAGGTGATGAAAGCTCTGGGAAGATCTCTAGGAAATAAGGGGAATAAATAGAACAGACAGAAGGAATAAGAAGAAGAGGTTAACTTTCCAATTAAATCTTGAAAATTTAATTAAGGTAATTAGGTAAGAGAATAAAAAAATTGCAGCTTGACCCTAGGAACATACTGCTTTGAATGGTACAAAGATTTTGAAATAGGAACATAGAGAAGAAAACATAAATCTGCATTTTAGGTCTGCAATAAAAAATTATATAAGCATAATTATAATGTAAATAATAGACCAATGAATGACCCAACAATCCCACTCCTAGATATACCCAATAGAAATGTACACAATTGTTCACCAAAAGATCTGTATAAGAATATTCCTAACAGCACTAATCCAACAGTCCATCAACAAAAGAAGGAATAAACTGAGGTAGTCACACAGTGGAATACTCTATAGCAAACACAACAAACAACCCACATCTATACACAATGGATTAACCAACTACATCTACACACAAAATACAGGGATTATCTCACAAACATACTATTACGTTAAAGAAGGTAGAAAAACAATGAGTGCATAGGATGTGATTCAATTTATATAAAGTTCAAAAACAGACCAAAAAAAAAACCACCCCAACAAAACCAAAAGCAATGGTGGTAGACGTCGGGATAGTAGCTACTCTTAGGCAGAGAGGTAACTGAGTAGTGAGTAGGTGGCATATATAAGGGACTTCCTGGTGGCTGGTAATATTCTATTGCTTGTTCTGAATGCTGCTCTGTTTGTAAAAAAAATTCACTGAATTGAATTTTTATGATTAATATACTTTAGTAAAAGTTTAAAAGAAAAAAACATTAAATTTAAAAATGTGAATTGCTTTGGTAACATTTGAAAAAATGTATTATTAAATTTTACACCTACAAGAGTAGCTAAGCCTTCTTCTCATCAGTGGACCTGAGAGAATCTTTTTTAACATCTAAAAGATGTTTTTGCTCCAAGATGTTTCAAGATTGCTCTATAAGCACCCTGAATACCAGCTGGTGACAATTCCATCACATGGCAGCAGAAAAACTGTTTGCAAACACTATGATCTTTAGAGAAAAGGGTTTACTACACACCCAATATAAAAATATCCTGAGGTCTAAATCCTCTCTTGACTTCAGCATGGGCTTGTGTGTCCTTGGCAAAGTAATAAATCTGCTAGAACTTTCAGGTCAATAAAAGAGAAAGCTTTCTAACAATTAGAGTTAGTCGCAAAAGGACACAGCTAGCTCTTTGCATTGCGTGTCTTCTATCTCTAGAAATATCCAGGCAGAGACTGGATGAGGCTTTGACAAGCAGGGAAGGTGTTGTGAAAAGAGCACAAAATTCAGAATCATACAAATATAGATTATAGTCCCAACTCCTAGAGATTTATTTCAAAATAATCAGGGGAGCGGAGTGGGGAGAGATATAGATCAAAAGTGGCCACAAATTAATCACCTGGCTATGGATAATGGGGGTTCACCGAACTATTCTCTTAACTTTCCATAATGAAGAACGGGAAGAGATCTGTCCTGTATACTGAAACACCTGGGTTCTCTCTTCTTGTTTCTCCTCTACGCTTTCCTGAGCAACATCATTTGCTCTTACTGCTTCTTTAAGTTCCATATATTGATGCTTAAAAGTAAATTTAAGTTCCACATATTGATGCTTAAGAGTAAATTAAACACCTTTTCTTCAAACTTGTTCCTCCTCCTGTTTTCTCTTATTGTACCACCAATTACCTAGACACTGGGAAACCTGAAGTTACCTGTTATCTCTCCCCTTCCCACAGCCAGCGAGTTCTACATCCATTCCCCTCCATAATATTTCTAAAATTCTCTTCTGCTGTTCTTCTGGGTTTCCCATTGGCCTGGTTCAGATTTTCATGATTGGTTAAAATGTTGTGATATTTGAAATTACCTTTCTTCTTAAAAACAGTATTTTTTAAAATCAAAAACAAAAGCCT